TCCCCGAATTAACCAACAAAAAATGTACCTACCGTCAATCTAATTAAGACAGGCACAAGGGACCATGAAAATGGCAAAATTAGTATCCTGTACACCAACAGCGCTAACTTAAATTACTGTAAACTTCACGTCCCTCGTTTTAGCACCGAAAAGAAAAGACTTATCTCCCCAGTCCACATTTGTGTGGGATAAAGTTCACACCGCACACATAAACCAAACGGGTCTCTACAATGAATTAAGCCTGGTAACTAAGAAGAAAAATCAACATACGGTTTCTGGTGTCTGTGTTTACTTTACAACTTGGCAGTAACCTACGGTCAAAGGTCAGCATGAACGACGTTCCAACAGGTAGCTCTCTCAGTCATCCATGTCGTGATTTCAACTGGCAAAGACCATGGAGGGCTTCCTCCATGCAAAGACCAACATTATGTTCATATCCAGTATACAGCCACAGTACTCATCAAACGTCATATGATCCTGATTTTTGCACTGTCGTTCGAGGATACCCTTCAATCATCTTTACACCTGCCATATACTTAATTGAACACACACCCCGCACAAAACACAAACTTCGGGAATAAGTCTTTTGCGAGTTAAATTTGAATAAAATCCGGTACACTGTGTTATCTTATTTATTAACAATTCGAATTCCCCAGACTAAAGACTATACCTCGTGATTCGGGGCAAGCTTTTACATAGCGACCACATTCTCTGGAATGGACTTGTTCCTTTGTGCCCTCATCCATTGACAACAGTGTAGGCCTAATGATGCAAGGCGTCTCTCGTGTAACTTAGCTAAAACTTGTCCCAAATTACGATGTATAGCAACATTTGATGCGAAGTATGTCACAGAGAGAACCCCCCCCCCGCCTTTGTGTTAGTCATTATACTGGTATCTCAGGAATTCTTTTCAGACATCTGGGGGATTTGTTAAGTAACAATAGGCTGGAGTTCGTATAGGGATTGGACTTGTTGGGAGGAACCCCTCTGTCCCATTTCGTGCCCGGTATATACACAGGGTGTCCCAGAAAAATCCTGAGGAAAGGGGTTGATATGCCCAAACCATGAGATATGATTATAATGTACAAGTAGAAGCAGCTAATGATACCTTGATGGTATCCCTCCTGTCATGCATGACTGAACACCATTGTCTTGAAACTGGGGCATCCGAACTCAGTTGTAACACTTTGAATAAGCCAGTGAATGAGGTTGTCCTCTGTCATGCTTGTCCTGGATAAGATATCAGGGGCACACCGATTATTTACACGTAACGTAATTCACGGTTAATTGTGCACCGACAGCTTCCGCGTGTCCACGTTCCGATTGTCAACCATTCAAGAAACCTTTCATTGGTCTGACAGCGTTCCAGGAGCCATTAAGCAAAATCCCGTCTCTTCCTGAGGTCTCCACGCAAACGTTGGTGGCGGATGTGCATTCGGTATGGATGGAACTGCAGGTCGAACTGCTATATGCGGTTAAACGAAGAATGGGACTGTCCAAGTCCATTCCTCCTGCAACTGGTCCCCCGTGGCAGTTCCACAAGTTGTTGTCGAACTGCAGCAACGTTTTCAGGAGTTCGCACTGTGCGCCTCCTTCCCGAATGACCCTTATTCAAATTAAAGCTTGTCACATGTTCTTTGTATTTTGCGCACATTTTCCCAGATGGTTGACTTTGCCGGTACGAATCCCTATCAGGGAGGACTTCCCTAAATTTAGCTTGGGTGGCTTGAAAGTTCTTGTTTTCAAGAAATTTTGTTACGACAAACACTATTTGCTCTTTGGTAGGTTGCACCATGTTGTTAGACTTGCTGTCCTGCTTCGAACACTTTTCAACACTGCACTAGCCTACCTTGGGGCAAGTCAACACCTTTAAGCCAGATTATTGCATAACTTGAAAGTGACAAAAGGCAATCTTCCCTCATTAACATGACCTTTTGTTGTCTCTTTCAACCAGGACAAGCAAAGTGTTACAACTGATTTCAGATGCCCCATTTTCAAGACAATGGTGTTCAGTCATGCATGACAGGA